ATACATACATATGTACATATAGGACTTTTCCATCCTCTCTTATTGATAAAAAAAAATTATTAGTGAGTATCGACACTTCTAAAAGCCTAAAAGACTACGTAACGACTTAACTTCAGTTAATAAACACATACCCGGCCGACCATGCATTTCCTTGCCATTCTTCTGTGCTCCAAATTAATTAACGTTTTAGTGGAATCAAGATAGAGTTTTTTCGAAACTACGATCACAGACATTTTTCGCAAACTCTACCACTCGGTCGTTCATTTTCAATTATCACCTTGAATGGCAAATAATTTCATAAAATTTGTATTTCGCTATACACAAAAGAAGATTTAAGATTAAGCGAGATCCGGTTTATGAAGCATAGTGGGCAAAAATCTATAGAAATATATTTGTATGTATATTCGGAACATAAGCTTCATACTTCAATAGGCCAGGCAAAAACGACTAACTACGTTTTTACTCATGATTAGGCGTGTGATGTGCAGAGAGCCTTACCCCACGTCTCCACCTTCTACAGATTCTGTTAAAAAAGCTGTGTTAAGACAGAAAGGTCAGGTGGAGACCGCGAATTTCCACTGTTAAACCATATCTGTCTTGCCGAATTTCATAGCATTTCGTAGATATTAAGACACATTTAGTAGCAAATGAACAAAAACTCGAATTCGGATCTATATATATTTCAAAGTGTTTCTGGTAACACAAATCCGATAACATTAGCAATTAGTAGCTCCGATTAATAACAGTTCGGGCATGAGGTTTTCGCTTGTAGCCATTCTAAGCGGCGAATAAATATTCCCAATCTGATATGCATCCATACTTAGCCGATTAGTGGCCAAGGCAGTGCTGCAGCAAACACACAAAAATTATAATTGAAGATAAATAATCAAATGCAAGCAAAACGTGAAACACTTTGAATTAGAACTCAGGTCCCAGTGTTTAATTGTGATTGTGAATCGACTTTTGTTAGCTTATCTTATCAAGCAAACGCCCTGAATTCAGCGGCATAAGTAACGCTCATGATTATTAATATTTGCGTGTGTGTTTTCGCACCCCTTTGCTTTGCTGGTTTGCTTTTAACGAAGTCAAAATTGATTATGAAGGAAAACCAACACATTTGCAACTCGATTGCCATTCGAATCGCCAACTATTCGGTGTCTCGCTGCCAAGTCATACAGCTGTCGTTTAGTCTGCTCCATTTCATTGTGAAAGTTGTGCAAAAATTTTGCAGAAAGGAAAACCAACCGCGTCAGCAGTATTCCACAGTATTTGAAAAAAACTAAAATAAAATCAAATAAAATAAAAGATAGTAATAATAAATACAAAAAAAACAACCAAAAAATATATAATTCGTATAAGACTAACACTGGACTAAAAATAAAATATTGGTGAGCCAATTATTTTAAAAAAACTGTTCGAACGATGAATCGCATATTCAATTTTCTTAGTTGCCCGCAACTCGAGATACTCGATTCCGATTTCGGTTTTGTTTCGGTGGTTACGGTTTCTGTTTCAGTTTAATTTGCGTGCGCCTGAGCAATTAAGTTAGACAACCAATCACGGGATCAGAGTTTTCATATTTTAGAAGGAAAAAAACGTATCACCATACATATGTATGTATGGGTGTACACTGTACATATATATGTATTTGTTAATAGGAACACAATGCCAGGGGGCCCTGCTGCATTGGTTGATTGGTTATTTTAAAAACCGAAATGAGAAATTTCAGCTGTCACCGCCACTGGATGTCAGGCGATCTTCGTACTCCGCACAAAGTCTGGATCCATTTACAATTGGATTTCCTTGTTATTGCGGCCACACTATTCTGCATACACATACACACATACACACGCTTTTCAATTTGCTAGAATAAGGCAATTTTCGGTGGCAGTGCAAATCGCAAAATTGCAACTGCCAAATCGCTTTGCGTGCAGTCGTCGCCAGTGTGGGGCCTACGAGTGCCTACATACATACGTACATACGTGTCTACGTAAATATGTATAGATATGCATTGGAGTTTTGTTTTGTGGCGAACTTCGGTGCTCAGTGGCTTAATTGGCGATTGTGTCAAGCAGCGACCAAGTCCAAGTATGTCCAATGGTTTAACTAATAATTGTAATTAATTATCACAGCCGCCCAATCGCACATTTGTCTGCTGCTGCTGCTGCTGCTGCTGCTGGTGATGTTGGTTAGAGGTTGTTGGTTGTTGGTTGTTGGTTGTTGGCTGCTCGCAGTTATATCGATGACTTGTTTCCTTTCCTTTGTTTCCGTCTTGTACGTCCTCTTGTTGACTATTTTCTCTTTGGCCACTGATTTATCAATTGCACGCCTAGGCGTTCACCATTGCCAACGTTAGCAATTATTGTATTGGTCATTTTCGAATTTTCGTTCGCTTTTGAAAAATTGCTTCCGTTCATTGTCGTCGCCTGCAAAACATTCAAGTAACGCAGGTTTAGCCACTTTTTGTTATTGTTGCAAATGGTTTTATTAGCACAACATTAAATGGACACCAGATACTTATATGTACATATGTATGCACTCTCGTATGAATGTATGGATGTATGTGCATACATAAGTTGCATTTATTTACAATTCCAAGTGCAATTAAATAGCGTAATTGCTCTGCAATAAACTAAAGGACAGCTTACTGTGTGATGTTTGATTTGAAGTGCGAACAAGCAACGAAAATTAGTTGCAAACATAGGTGTATGTATGTACATGCATATGTATGTATATGTACATATGGACGTGTATACCTTTCAATCAGGCCCCGCAAACCAAAAAGCTCCGAAGAGACGTCACCTCTTCGGTGAGCTACTTTTCAGCTTAGAACCGTTCATGTGGGTCATAATGGTAAGATGGTATTTCTGTTTGTGCGGTGGGTCTTGCTTTTGGTCTAGAGCAGATTTTTCGACTCGTTTTACCAGGTTTCGTCATGATTGAAACCTCTTTTTTTAATCTGCGTGCGGAAATAGGTACTTTTTTTCAAATCCAATTTTATAAAAATGTCTACATACCGCCGGCTGTTATAGGTGAATTTACTTCAGGAATAAACATTAAAGGGCTATTTTCAGCTCTCAAGAAAAATCACAAGAAATTTTTTTCATTATTTCTTTTGCTTAAAAAAGTATGTACTTTGCTTTTGTTGTAAATTTTCTTGATGAAATATGTAAATAGACGAACACTTTTTTCTTGAGAGCTGCAAACCGATTTAAGAAATTTTGATAGAAGAAAATTACTTTTCCGTTTCTTGTGCGTCATTTTATATGTGAATTTTTCGTTTTTCTTGAGAGCTGCAAACAGTCCTTAAGGAATGTCTTCTCAAGTAGCTTCTTAAATTTATCTGCACTTTAAACACAAATTTGGTTCAAAAAAAATTTATTATATATGATATGAATTATAATCTGAATATGTAAATAAGGGTATGTCTGTGTATGGCCCATCGAAAATGCGTTTTTTTTTTGGGGAATTTCAAGACCCTATCCCCTAATTTTATTCGTTTTTATGAGAAATATAAAGGTAATTTAGACGTCGATTTAGGCCAGAAAACAAAATTTTGTAGATTTATGATTTTCTGAGTGACTATTTTTGACTCGATTTCAAAGATCGAATATGATCTATGAAGAGTATATTAAAATTGTTTATAAAAATCTATTGTCGGACTAGGCTTGTTTGGATTTTTATCGGGTAATTTTTTAAATTTTGATCATCGATAAATTCCACAATTTCAAAAAATTTAGTACTATCAAAAATTGAATCTATTTTTAAATAAACTGATAGCTCATTTATTGCAATCGCATAAAAGATGTGTCGAAGTTAGGCGACTTTTCTTAAATACGGCCTTGAATTTATATGTGTGTTATGTGTATGTACCGTACTTTCAGATTTTTTTGAGCAGTGTGACTAAGGAGTTCATCAATATTTGTTCAAAATTGATATATACAATCGCTCTTTAGCAAAAAAGGGGGTTTTGCAGAAATTTTAGGAAAATAGGGATGGCACCGCCCACTTACATATATAATACATATATGTACATGCGTATCTCAAAAACGACTTAACCGATCTGGACCAAATTTGATATACACATTTTGCTTAGCCTCCTTACCGTACTGAAAATTTTTAAAATTGGACAAAACCTACTCCTAAAATATTGCTAGCTTTGAGTTTTTTGAAATTACCGTTACGTTGGTGGAGCCCGTGGTTTTCGTCCGATTTCAAAAATTTTCAAATTTGGTGGAGATCGGTCGAGTAGTTTTTGAGATATCGTATATGTGGGCGATGCCACCCTCATATCGATGGTCAAAATAAAAAATCCCAACAAGCCTAGCCCGATGATAGATTATTTACCATTTTAAAGGCCTATATATCCTCTTCTCAGATCATATTCGCTCTTCGAAATCGAATCAAAAATAGTCATTCAAAAACTCATAAATCTACAAAATTCTATATTCTGACATAAATCGAAAGGTCGCGACCTCTAAATGACCTTTAAAAAAATCTAAAATAATAGGCAATAATATTTCCCATAAAACGAATAAAATTACGGGGTAGGGTCTTGAAATTTCCAAAAAAAAACTTTTTAGATGGACACTCTAATGTACATATGTATGTATGTATGTATGTATATGCAATCGTAAATTTTAAATTTCAAAATTTATTATTTAATTGTTTCAGCACATAACGCTGCTGGATACTGTACATACATATGTAAGGTACCAAACAAAAATTCACTGAAGTGTGTCAGATTTGGCATTAGCGCGCTAAATATGTAGCACAGGGGGCTATTGTTATTTTAATTTCTATTGTGGCCGACCTTCTCCATGTACATTCGTTTATAAAATTAAATGGCTAACTTTGCGCTCTATTTATTTTCTGCATAACAGTCCTACTTCGCTTAATTTACATTGATGCATATGTACATACATATGTACATACCTTATTTACATAAATAAATACAAACATAATTTTCACAGAAAAGCAAAAAAAAATAGATTAAATTAAATACATATCTACATACATATATACATAACAAACACTTTATTTGAAGTTTTATTACATATTTATATCTATACAGAGGAAAACCTTAAAACGTACAGTATGGGCCTTTCTACCCGCAGCTCATTAAAATGCACAATTGTATAATTACGCTCCTCTATAGCTGACGGAGATAATAGCGGTAATAAATTTATTTACTAGATAAAAAGCTGAGTTTTTGTCGCGACGTATAGCAAATACATTAAATTGGGCAGCTAGATATATGTATGTATGTATGGGTCTCAAGCATTCAGTCCCAATTTCTACCCACATATGTAGTCTACGGCTGCATAGGAGTACATACATATATAATTCCATATTATGCAGCGGACATACATATTTTCTTAGCATAGTTTTAAGGTTCATTTGTATTTAAATTCATTTATGTATATCAGCGATGGGTAAACTTAAATACTTCTGTGTGTTGTATTGTCTCTAAACCAAATTTGACAAGGGATGACGGAAAATCCTTGCACATGCATCATACTCCTACTCTTTCGGAAACACCAACAGGTAGTATTTAAAGTACTTGTTTCGATACTAAATAACTAAATACTTTCAGCCGATACCCTATGTAGCTAGCGCTGCGATTTCTCAGTTTATATGATAGGCTCTGTTGTATAAGCTTAAAAAATAAATAAAAATAAATAAGCTAAATACTTAGTATTAACATAGATATGCCTAAGCACTAAAGTAAACACGAACTTATTATGTAAATATTTAGTAGAGGACTAATTTGTACACGATTTAAGGCCGCCTCACACTGGCCCGTTGCGGTACAATTTCGTACGATACATGAGTCGGTACATATACAAAATTGCCTAAGTTCACAGACGAAAATGCAATACATTCACACTGGTCGGCCTAGTAAATAGTTTAAAGTAAAGCAATAATGTAGTAGGTTAGGTTAGGTATGGTGGCAGCCCCGTGTAACCGGATCTCACTTAGACAATTAATGCAATGTTACTAATTAATGTCGATAATATTAATAAAAAGACATTTAATATTAAGGATTTATTCAAAGGTGAATAAGTCCTAGCGTAAGTTTAAATGAAAATGCTTAAATCAAAAAAAAACGTAGACTTCTTTTTTTCAAATATGGATTAACCTTCTCTTCGGTTGTTTTCTTCGCAAAATGCTTCCAAGTTTTATTGGTATCCTACTATCTACATAAAATACTTGAAATTGAATTGAAAATATTTTGGTATTATCTAAAAGATAAATTAGAAAATACATACTATTATTATTATACTTTTGTATTTAGTATTTTCAAAGATCAAACTCTCAAATATTTGTGTAATTAAGTACCTACTTAGTATTTCACAAAATGTTACCCATCCCTGATATTATACATACATAAGTGCTACGCGTCTGTGTGTGTTAAACATAGAATCAAACAAAATTTAGACTGCAAGTGTTTTAGTTATTTCTAATTGATGCTCAATTTGTTATCGCTCATTATTCCTAGCTGAGAACCGGCAGCAAGCGATAAGAAATGCCGCTTAACCTGCTCGCCCTTTCGGTCCACCACTTTTAAATAAATATCTAAGTTATACACTTGATTTTCGCACACACACACAATGGTCACTCTCAACTCCTCCATTTCCCATGCCGATTCGCTGATAGGGCGATACGCTCTCCCACTCACTTGATAGACACAGACTGCGATTTTATCGCAACTCTCTTTTCTGTTGCTGATTTTTCGACTGATCGACTGATTCTTTGTGTGTAATTTTGCTTTCAGGGTAAACTCTCGCATGAATCAATCAAACAGCTGGTACTTGAGGCAGAGCATTTAGTACGTGACGCCGAAGCGTTAAAGACGCC